ACAAATTACTCCCTATGATAGCAGGAGGCTGGGCATTGTCATCATCACTGCCAGCATTTGTCATCATCACTGTCACCATTACACCGTCAGCTACCACCCCTCCCCAAAACCCCTTCTTACCCCACTCTTCCTACCTCCCTCTCTCCCTCTACCCTCTCTCCCTCTACCCTCTCTCCCTCTACCCTCTCTCCCTCTACCCTCTCTCCCTCTACCCTCTCTCCCTCTACCCCCTCTCCCTCTACCCCCCTCTCCCTCTACCCCCTCTCCCTCTACCCCCCTCTCCCTCTTCCCCCTCTCCCTCTTCCCCCTCTCCCTCTTCCCCCCTCTCCCTCTTCCCACTCTCCCTCTTCCCACTCTCCCTCTTCCCCCCTCTCCCTCTTCCCCCTCTCCCTCTTCCCCCTCTCCCTCTGCCCCCCTCTCCCTCTGCCCCCCTCTCCCTCTGCCCCCCTCTCCCTCTGCCCCCTCTCCCTCTGCCCCCCTCTCCCTCTGCCCCCCTCTCCCTCTGCCCCCCTCTCTGCCCCCCTCTCTGCCCCCCTCTCCCTCTACCCCCCTCTCCCTCTAACCCCCCCCTCTCCCTCTACCCCCCCCCCCTCTCCCTCTACCCCCCCCCTCTCCCTCTACCCCCCCCTCTCCCTCTACCCCCCTCTCCCTCTACCCCCCTCTCCCTCTACCCCCCTCTCCCTCTACCCCCCTCTCCCTCTACCCCCCTCTCCCTCTACCCCCCTCTCCCTCTACCCCCCTCTCCCTCTACCCCCCTCTCCCTCTACCCCCCTCTCCCTCTACCCCCCTCTCCCTCTACCCCCCTCTCCCTCTACCCCCCTCTCCCTCTACCCCCCTCTCCCTCTACCCCCCCTCTCCCTCTACCCCCCTCTCCCTCTACCCCCCTCTCCCTCTACCCCCCCTCCCTCTACCCCCTCTCCCTCTACCCCCCTCTCCCTCTAACCCCCCTCTCCCTCTACCCCCCTCTCCCTCTACCCCCCCTCCCTCTACCCTCCTCTCCCTCTACCCTCCTCTCCCTCTACCCTCCTCTCCCTTCCCCGTTCTATATCTTTACTACTACCCACTTTCTCTGCTACCCATTTTTTTCTATTTTCTCCCTTCTACCTCCTTTCCCTTCCTCCCTCATGGTAATTAGTCACCCACTTGGCAGGGTTCTTGGTCACATGACAAGCTCATTGGTAGTGGTGGGGGTGTGGCAGTGATCACACGTGACGATGTACTAGCTGTTGGCACTGTGGTGGTGGTCCGCTGCGGCACTGACCACAGGCACTGTGGTGGTCCACTGTTCCCATGTAATCTAAAAGCATCTCTTCTTTATATTTCATTATTCAACCTTCGCTAGCCAAAGACGTGTTGTAGCCAGGTCGCTCTGCTGGAAGGTACATCCTTCTGTAAAGAGAATATTTCATCAATGTTTGTGACGAGTTGGATACGTGTCAGGAAGCAGTTTTTTTTCTCTACCACAATACAAAGAGGTAGTTGTATCATGGTTTAATATTGGTTTTTAGAGAGCGGAGAGCAGGCAGTGGAAATCATCTTAATTTTTAATGGGGTGGACGGGTAAGCCAGTGGAAGGCCTCGCTCGGATGACCAGAAGCTCCAGTGGTGGGGTCATGTGACTAGGACCCGCGTCAGGAAACGCTTGTCCTATTTCCTGACTAATCTTGCCTGACCTATTGGAAATAAACCTCGTTAGCGTGTTGGGTTAAACCTTGGCCCTTAACACTGTACATATATAAATTTTTTGTTAAATATCACCACTGTAATAGTCAAATTTTGTAGAAATGTTTGTACAATTTATCCTTCAAAATAATATAATACAAAGTTGAACGACAGTATTGTTAACTTTATTAAAACTTAACTAAAGGTCATTAGTAACTCAGATGCCAGAGCCATATCAGGAAGCACTGTGCGCGCCACCATACTCGTATGGATGAGTCTCATACACACTCATCCATGTGAGTGAGCTCAAGTTTTAAGTTCACTCACATGGATGAGTCTCTTGTACACACTTACGTTTTGCGTTGAGTGTACAGGATTTCAGGGCAGATTCCTAGGAATTGCAATTGTAGCCTGGGATAGTCCATGCTCATTGGGCTACTAGTGAGGCTCCTGAAACTGGGCTGGCGAGTGGTTTAGTGCATGCGTTGTAGTGGCACTATCGTCAGCATATCAGTAACATAAGCAGGTGTCAGTAGCCTGGATGGTAATGGCACTAGCGTCAGCAAGTGCCACTAGCATGTTTGGTGGCGGCACTAGCGTCAGAAGCAGGTGATGAGGCTTGTGTTGTTGCCAGCATGTGAGGAGGATGATGAGAGTGCCACGTGATGCCAGGGTTGTCAGTGTCACAGCTTGTGTTGGCCGAGTGCCGTCCCTGCCGTCAGCAAGTGAGGCTGCTGCTGTGTTGGCAACAGTTGCTCAATGCTAGTAGTATTTTGCCGGTATTTCGTTCTTGCAGTACAAGCTTCCCAAGTCGGATTGTGTATACAATGGTAAACCTTTATACTAGTTCAGTGATAGTAACCGTAGTCTCCAGTCAGGCTTCCGTACCTATATAATTAGCGTATTCTCTATCTAGTAAACGTATTCTCTCCTATCTAGTAAGCGTATTCTATTCAGAAAACTAAATTACTACCAACACTAAGCCAGTGTCTTACTTGACAGCGATGGCTCCTGCTTAGTGGGCCCAGAACCATTGATTGGACTTGCATTCTCCAGGCAGAAACTCTCCTCTCTGTCGTGTCAGTCAAGTATGTTCATACGTTCATTTTTGACACATTAATTGTAAACTTGTTTTCTGCTGCCCATATTGTCTGGATGGCTTGAGGTGGCGTCATGCTCCTCTCTGTCAAGCTCACAATTAAGTTTGGTGAGCAGTGATTATTTTCTGTTGATTTCTGCTCACTCTGGTTTTGGTACCTCTGGGAAGGTTAGGAAAGTCTTTTCGCATAAATAATTTAATAGGACGTTTAAGTGATGCTGGTTATTTTAACTTTGTATGATGTGCTTGTTCGTTACTTTCGTTATTTGTTAATTTTACCCTTTTTTGTGTTTTATATAATAGATCTGTTTTTAAGCGGCGAGTACGTGTGGGATCACAAGAGCTCGGTAAATGTCACCACTGCTGCTATCTTGGTCTTGGAACACGTGATTGATGAGCTAACAAGGGTGTTTGATATCACACATGTGATATAACGTTACATTATCTACGAGAATAATAAATTGCTCAGTGCTCCAGGTAATGAATTGTAATGAGGCGCGTCTTGTTTACTACGAAAACTATTGGAAGTGGCGGTGACTGGAGGCTGTCGCGATGCACCTCATCCACACCATAGAACAATATTGGAGGAATGTGCGTTGCACTAGAACCAGTTGCTCACTCAGTTATGAATTAATATAGATTACACTAAGGTAAAGTAACACGTATAACACAGGATATTTTACCACCCGGCGCCGCCTGCCCACCACTTCTCACATTTTTTTTTTCATGTTGTTTTACCCCCATCTCCTCTCTCCCCCCCAACCACATCGCTCCCCCCTCCATCTCTTCCTCCACCTAAAACATCCTCGTCTCCTTACATTTTTTTTTCCTGTATTCCCTCTCATTTTTTCTCTAGTCCCTCGTTAATTTTCTCACAACTCCTTCATTTTCCGTCTGTTTCCTCTTCCATTTCTTCCTTCATCCATTCCCTCCCTCCCCTTCTCCACCTCTTCCCTGCCCTCACCATTCTTTTTCACCTACTTTCCCCCTCCTTGTGTGTGTGTGGTGGGGGGGGGGGGCTGGCATGACCATGAGTGGGCGAGTCTTGACGTGGCTCTCAACACGTGTACGCCCACGCCCACGGGATGGGCGTGCACTGAATGTTTAGTTTGAGCCCGGGTGTGAAGCCTTTTGCAGACGTGTAGGGGGAATATATTTTTGTGTATAGGTGTTTTGTGTGTGGGCGTGGATGATTGTCAACCTCAGGAAGTCTAAGTGAACTAAGTAATATATAATATTATATATATAATTTGAATTAAATCTGTTAAAGGCACAATTTACGACTTGGTTATTGTTTGTTACATAATGGAAACAATAGGGAAAGTAAGCTTAGCCTAGTGAAATATAATGAAGACACAGGTGAAGGAAGGAAGAACAGAGATTAGGATGTGGAAGGTGGGTAGGATGTCCTTTGTTAATTGTGGATACAACGGTGTATTGCTGCCGTCTTTTACCTATATCAAACTTCCCCTGTCCTGTTACATTATATAGAATGTTTCATATATTAGGTAAGAGACAGCCATGGGGGGGGGTTGAATAATAGCTCTAGGCTCTTCGTGTTGCAGTCAACACATCAGGAGCTTGCAGTGTTGCAGAAAAGAGGAGGTCCAAGCAAATTCGATCGCAGAAAGCGTCTTTGTTCCAGCAAAGAAACTTCCTGTGATCGTGTTTGCTTGGACATTTCTGCAACATTGCAAGCTCTTGATGCGTTGATTGCAACACGAAAGGTCTAGAGCTATCATTCCACTCCCCCCGTGGTTGTTTTGCATCTTGTATCGTTTGTTCGCGATTTTTGCGTAATACATTAGGTAATATTGTCAGTCGAGTGATGAGTAACACTCACTGAGACTGTTATACTGGTATATTGAGAATGCAGGTGTAGGAAGCGCAGCGTGCACTCGGATGTCCTGACTGAGAGTATGTGACTGAGTATGCTCTCACGGCTGAGGCTTCATAGCAGTTCAGACTATGCTGATATCACAGTAGTATTTGAAATCCGTGTCTTCACGACTAGCGCATTTGAAACATGCTGATATCTGAAGTGGGGTAACTTCAGCGGGGATATCAAATATTCCACTCGGGGTTCCACACCTTTGAGACACTGCAAGGTATCCCTTCAGCATCTCTATCGTGCGAGGTAAGAGGGTAGAGGAAAGTAAATCATGTGGGAAAGTGGGAAAGTTTTTTTTAGATGTACGGGGAGAGATGAGGGGTGAGGTATGTGTCAGTGTGCCCTGGGCAGCTGGTGGTGTCAGTGTGAAGTTGGAGCAGCCGCCAACATGATGGGCCTATTCTCCATCACCCACCTGCTTTCTGCGAGCCTTCCCAATATCTCCATCTTCACCACCACCACCAGCTATGTACGAGGTAGGTTAGTTTCCCAGGCTCCCGTGTGGTTGGCACCGTCTTGGGCGACGGAGTGCCAAGGTAGCGCTGTGTGGGCACGAGCGACCGTGGAGGAGAGTGCCTTGCCTGTGAGCGTCCGTGTACTTGGCCGCCTCGTGACAAAATGAACGTGAAGCGAGCTAGTGCAGTAGACAACGATGCTCCTTTCCAAAGAGAAAGTGTTCGTGAGGTCAACAGTGAAAGCTATGTACAGTGCTGCGCTGAAACTCACGCACCCAGTAACAGCAGCAACAGCGGTGAAGATGAATACGGTGTAGAAGGCGTGACGCAGGCGGGCACGGAAGTGGCCGGCTGTGCTGGGAATGATGGTGATGCTGGACCACGGTTCTCCATGTCACTGGCTGTCAAGGCCGAAACTTTCCTCAACTTCGTGGTAGCCAAACTCACCTCCAGGATGCTCAAGATAGCTTACACGGCAGTACTCGCCCTCGTTACAATGATATTCAAGTTCATAGGACTAGCCTTGTCAAAAATATTTTAGAACGTAACATTGAGTAGTGAAACCTTGTAGCAGAATAATACGTAGTATTGTTTGAACCAACCTAGATAAAGTTTTGAAAAAGAAATACGTTCACAAGTTCTTGAATTTTTAGTATTAATTGGAATATCATTAATCAGGGAGCATTTCCCCGCACCTCAGCCTGATGAGTATTACCGAGCACCAGAGCTTGATGAATGAGCATTCAGCCATCACTGGGGCCTGATGAAAGAACATGGAGCCGTCACGAGGCCCTGATATAAGAGCATTCAACCATCACTGGGGTAAGTGGCAGCCAGCTTAGCTGCTGAATGCGTGTGTAATGGAGGGACTCAGAAATGAAGTACTCCTGTGTTGAATGGTGCAGACTGAATGAGGTTGCTGGGGTCGTGTTGGTGGGTGGTACGGCAGTTACTGTGGGTCGTGTTGGTGGGTGGTATGGCACACTGGGGGTCGTGTTGGTGAGGTTACCTGGAGGTTATTCCGGGGATCAACGCCCCCGCGGCCCGGTCCATGACCAGGCCTCCCGATGGATCAGGGCCTGATCAACTAGGCTGTTACTGCTGGCCGCACGCAGTCCAACGTACGAGCCACAGCCCGGCTGATCCGGCACTGACTTTAGGTATCTGTCCAGCTCTCTTGAAGGCAGCCAGGGGTTTATTGGCAATTCCCCTAATGCTTGATGGGAGGCTGTTGAACAGTTTTGGGCCCCGGACACTTATGGTGTTTTCCCTTAGTGTACCAATGGCGCCCCTACTTTTTATTGGGGGCATTTTGCATCGCCTGCCCAGTCTTTTACTTTCGTAGGGAGTGATTTCTGTGTGCAGATTTGGGACCATTCCTTCCAATATTTTCCAAGTGTAGATTATGATATATCTCTCCCTCCTGCGTTCCAACGAGTACAAGTCAAGTGCTTCCAAGCGTTCCCAGTAGTTAAGGTGCTTGACAGAACTTATACGTGCAGTAAATGATCTCTGTACACTCTCTAGATCTGCGATTTCACCTGCTTTGAATGGAGATGTTAATGTACAGCAGTATTCCAGCCTAGAGAGAACAAGTGATTTGAAAAGGATCATCATGGGCTTGGCATCTCTCGTTTTGAAAGTTCTCATTTTCCATCCTATCATTTTCTTTGCACGTGCGATCGTGGCACTGTTGTGATCCTTGAAAGTGAGATCCTCGGACATTACTACTCCCAGGTCCCTTACATTATTTTTCCGTTCTATTGTATGGCCGGAGTCAGTAGTATACTCTGTTCTAGGTATTATCTCCTCCAGTTTTCCATAACGGAGTAGTTGGAATTTGTCCTCATTGAACATCATATTGTTTACCGTTGCCCACTGGAAAACTTTGTTTATATCTTCTTGGAGGTTAACCGCGTCCTCAGCAGATGACAGCCTCATGCAGATCCTAGTATCATCCGCAAAGGATGATACGGTGCTGTGGTGTATATCTCTGTTTGTCTGATATGAGGATAAGGAATAAGATGGGGGCGAGTGGTACGGCAGTCACTGGGGGTCGTGTTGGTGGGTGGTACGGCAGTCACTGGGGGTCGTGTTGGTGGGCGGTACGGCAGTCACTGGGGGGTCGTGTTGGTGGGCGGTACGGCAGTCACTGGGGGGAAGGGGGAGTAGATACATCATAAGTGGTAATATTGTGTTATGTGGAAAGTCATAAAAATCAAGCATTTGAAGCAACAGTGATCAAGAGATTTACTTGATCGGATTTGACTCTGGGAGTAATTATGGTAATTAACCGTTCATTTACCCACCGGGTGCTCATAACTAATGCTGCACTGAGCCTGGGGTTGTGGTGGCACACCGAGCCTGGGGTTGTGGTGGCACACCGAGCCTGGGGTTGTGGTGGCACACCGAGCCTGGGGTTGTGGTGGCACACCGAGCCTGGGGTTGTGGTGGCACACCGAGCCTGGGGTTGTGGTGGCACACCGAGCCTGGGGTTGTGGTGGCACACCGAGCCTGGGGTTGTGGTGGCACACCGAGCCTGGGGTTGTGGTGGCACACCGAGCCTGGGGTTGTGGTGGCACACCGAGCCTGGGGTTGTGGTGGCGCACCGAGCCTGGGGTTGTGGTGGTGCACCGTGCCTGGGGTTGTGGTGGCGCACCGAGCCTGGGGTTGTGGTGGCGCACCGAGCCTGGGGTTGTGGTGGCACACCGAGCCTGGGGTTGTGGTGGCACACCGAGCCTGGGTTGTGGTGGCACACCGAGCCTGGGGTTGTGGTGGCACACCGAGCCTGGGGTTGTGGTGGCACACCGAGCCTGGGGTTGTGGTGGCACACCGAGCCTGGGGTTGTGGTGGCACACCGAGCCTGGGGTTGTGGTGGCGCACCGAGCCTGGGGTTGTGGTGGCGCACCGAACCTGGGGTTGTGGTGGCGCACCGAGCCTGGGGTTGTGGTGGTGCACCGAGCCTGGGGTTGTGGTGGTGCACCGAGCCTGGGGTTGTGGTGGTGCACCGAGCCTGGGGTTGTGGTGGTGCACCGAGCCTGGGGTTGTGGTGGCACCGAGCCTGGGGTTGTGGTGGTGCACCGAGCCTGGGTTGTGGTGTGCACCGAGCCTGGGGTTGTGGTGTGGAGTCACCGAGCTTGGGATGTTTGTGGTGGCGCACCGAGCCTGGGGTTGTTGTGTGGCGCACCGAGCCTGGGGGATGTGGTTGTGGTGGCGCACCGAGCCTGGGGGATGTGGTTGTGGTGGCACACTGACCCTGGGGTTGTGGTGGTGCACCGAGCCTGGAGTTGTGGTGGTGCACCGAGCCTGGGGTTGTGGTGGTGCACCGAGCCTGGGGTTGTGGTGGTGCACCGAGCCTGGGGTTGTGGTGGTGCACCGAGCCTGGGGTTGTGGTGGTGCACCGAGCCTGGGGTTGTGGTGGTGCACCGAGCCTGGGGTTGTGGTGGTGCACCGAGCCTGGGGATGTGGTTGTGGAGGTGCACCGAGCCTGGGGGATGTGGTTGTGGTGGCGCACCGAGCCTGGGGGATGTGGTTGTGGTGGCGCACCGAGCCTGGGGGATGTGGTTGTGGTGGCGCACCGAGCCTGGGGTTGTGGTGGTGCACCGAGCCTGGGGTTGTGGTGGTGCACCGAGCCTGGGGTTGTGGTGGTGCACCGAGCCTGGGGTTGTGGTGGTGCACCGAGCCTGGGTTGTGGATGGCCGAGCTGGGTTGTGGTGGGCACCGAGCCTGGGGTATGTGGTGTGTGCACCGAGCCTGGGGTTGTGGTGGCACACCGACCCTGGGGTTGTGGTGGTGCACCGAGCCTGGGGGATGTGGTTGTGGTGGCGCATCGAGCCTGGGGTGTGGTGGGTGGCACCGAGCCTGGGGTGTGGTGGTGCGCACCGAGCCTGGGGGATGTGGTGTGGTGGCACCGAGCCTGGGGGATGTGGTTGTGGTGCACCGAGCCTGGTTGTGGGGCACGAGCCTGGGTTGTGGTGTGCACCGAGCCTGGGGATGTGTGTGGTGCACCGAGCCTGGGGATGTGGTGTGGTGCACCGAGCCTGGGGGATGTGGTGTGGTGCACCGAGCCGTGGTTTGGTTGGTGCACCGAGCCTGGGGATTGTGGTTGGTGCACCGAGCCTGGGGGATGTGGTTGTGGTGGCGCATCGAGCCTGGGGGATGGTGGTGCACCGAGCTGGGGTTTGTGGTGGGCACCGAGCCTGGGGGATGTGGCTGTGGTGCACCGAGCCCTGGGGTTGTGTGTGACCGAGCTGGGTGGGGTGCACCGAGCCTGGGGGATGGGTGTGGTGCAGAGCTGGGGGATGTGGTGTGGTGCACCGAGCCTGGGGGATGTGGCTGTGGTGCACCGAGCCTGGGGATGTGGCTGTGGTGCACCGAGCCTGGGGATTGGTGTGGTGCACCGAGCCTGGTGGGATGTGGCTGTGGTGGCACCGAGCCTGGGGGATGGGCTGTGGTGCACCGAGCCTGGGGATGTGGCTGTGGTGCACCGAGCCTGGGGGATGTGGCTGTGGTGCACCGAGCCTGGGGGATGTGGCTGTGGTGCACCGAGCCTGGGGGATGTGGCTGTGGTGCACCGAGCCTGGGGATGTGGCTGTGGTGGTGCACCTGTCAGCATTTTTCAAATATGTTAGCAGTGATGCCGTGGACATTTCAAATACTCAAATACTGTCATGTCAGCTATGAGGATGCTGCCACTGCGAGGCTGGGTCGCAGGGCAGTACCCTGGGCACTGTCACGTACTGTTATCAGACTGCAGGCTGGGCTTCCTATATCATTTCACCTTAATACATACTAGTACAACCGTCTCAGTGAGTTATTTCACCGTCACTCCACTCAAGAACCCCTTACGACACACCAAGCTTGTGGTGGTGCACGAAGCCTGTGGTTGTGGTGGTGCACGAAGCCTGTGGGTGTGGTGCACGAAACGACGGGGGTTGTGGCGGCGGCGGTGGTGGTGGTGTCTCCAGTCTGGGGGAGGGAGATTGTGGCGGCCCGAGTCTGGGGGGTGGGTGTCGGCGGTG